GAAGTGCCAAAGGAGGGTGGGGGAAGGAGGGATGGAGGGGGAAGGAGGGGAAAGGAGAAGGGAAAGGGAGGGAGGGGAGAGGAGGGAGGGGGAGAAGGGAGAGTTGGGGGAGGGAGGAAGCAAGGAGAGATGAGCCTGTTCTGCCTTTCAGACAGCCTACAGTGCTGGGAGGGGAGGGCACCTGACCTCAGTCCCAGGGCTGGTTGCTGGGAGCCGGAGTTTGAGCCTTGGTCTCCAGGTGCCTGGTGCAGAGCAGGTGTCCAGCACAGCCCGGCCCAGGGAGGAAGTGGGCCAGGTGGGCCGTGTCAGTGGAGGCCATGTCCGAGTGAGCGCCTGGGTAAGGGGCTGACAGGGCCCAGAGGAGGGACCTGGGACTGCGGCAGGCCCACGTGAGTGGAGACAACCACAGCTGTGAGACCTCGAGTGCCGGAGTTTGTTCATCTGTCCAACAGGCTGGAGGTGTCTTGCTCAAATGGCGTCTCCGAGGATTACGGGCAGTGCCGCGTGTAACCTGTGTGCCGCACAGGCCTGCCACACAGGGCCCTCATTACACTAGGGTATTAGTCTGTGGCGGCCGAAGGACAGTGATAACCGAGTGCTGTTTAGCAGAAATAGCAGCAGCAAAGCCAGTAATTGATAGAACAATAAGGCAAAATCCCACTCAGGACGGAGAAGACATGAATGGTACAATTAACCGAATTGATCTCATTGGTGTTCCTTTCGCATGCAAACAGGACATTCACCGAGATAGACCTTACGCTGGACTGTATATCAAGTTTCAATAAATTTGAAAGGACTGAAATCCAACAGAGTACATTCTCTGACCAAAACATAAATTAGAGATCAATATTAAAATGTGTCTGGAAACATTCCAAATGCCTCAGAATTCAAAACGCATTTCTAAATAGACCCTGGGTCAAAAAATGAATCACACGGAAAATTAGAAAGTATTTTGAACTGAGTGATAATGAAACACAGCAATAAACATTTGTGAGATATAACACAAAGCAGGGCTCAGGAGGGAATTTGGATTGTAATGCCTATATTTTAAAAGAAGGGGTATAAAATCAATTATCTCAATCTCTATTTTAAGAAGCTATCAAAAAAGAGTAATCAATTATCTAAACCTCTATTTTAAGAAGGTATAAAACAAAAGAATAAATTAGACCCAAAGTAAGTAGAAGGAAGTAAATGAAAACTAGAACAGAAATCAAAGAAATAAAAAAGGAAAAATCAGAGCCTCCAGGGGCCATGGAGGTTAAGGTAGCTGGATCCCATATATCTAACAGCACAGTTCAAGTCCCAGACCCAGCAGTTTGAAAATCATACTGGGTGCAAGAATGGAGGAGAAGGGATTCCAGCATGGCCATACACCCTGGGCAATAATTTCTCACTCTCTCTCTCTCTCACTCTCGCTCGCTCTCTCACTCTCATTCTCACTCTCTCTCTCTCTCACTCTCGCTCTCTCACTCTCACTCTCTCACTCTCTCTCTCTCTCTAGCTCTCGCTCTCGCTCTCTATCTCCAATGAGCACATGTGTCCTATAGCGTGCACATGCACACGCAAAGAGAAAGTGGCATTTTCAAGAAGGAATAAGGAACACCAACACAAAACCTTTAGGTATTAAAGGATAATCATAAAATATGAGTCTAATAAAGCAGACAAATTCTCTGAAAAAACACAGTTACCAAGCTGGCATAAGGCAAAACAGAACATCTGAATAATCCTATATCTATTAAAGAAATCGACATTATAACTAAAAACCTTCCTACAAAGAAAACTCTAAGCCCAGATACTTCTTCACTAGTGAATTCTAACAAATATTGAGTTAAAGGAGAAATACCGATTCTACACAATTTCTTTCAATGAAATAGAGAATGAACATTTCTCGAATCATTTTATGAAGCTGATGCCAAAACAAAATACATTACCAAAAAAAAAAAAGAAAGAAAGAAAGAAAACTAAAGACCCCTTCATGAAGATAGACTGAAACATCATTAACAAAATATTAGCAAATTGAATAAAAGGATAATACACCATGATCAATAGGGTTTATCCCAGAGCCACCTAGTCAGGTTAGCATTTGAAAAGCAATAAATGCAATCAGCACATTAACAAGATAAAACAGAAAAATGTAACTATGATAGTTACAAAAATTTATAAAGAAAAAGCATCTAACAAGTTTCAGTATCTATTCATGATAAAAGTTCTCAATGAAATAAGAATCGGAAGAAACCACCTCAACCTAAAAATGACATCTAAATGTACAACTAGCACAATTAATGATAAAAGACTAAACACTTTCTTACTAAGATAAGGATTAAGGCAAAGATACTCAGTTGACATTGCCCTGAAGTTGCTAACCAATGCAATAAAGTAAGAAAAAGAAAAAACATACAGATTTCAATTTTAAAGTAAAATTTCTTTTCTTTTTGGACAAAATGACTGCATACATAGAAAATCTTGCAGAATCTATAAAAACATTATGGAAACTAATAATTACTAATAACTGGGGGCCAGTAGATGGCAGAGTGGTTGGGGCACTGGACTCCCACATGGCCAACTGCAGTTTAAGTCCCACACCTAGTGACTTACTTTCTCACTTTCTCTTTCTCTCTCTCTTTCTCTGGCCAAATTTTAAAATAATAAAAAATAAAATTCAATAAAGAATTCTTTTTTTTTTTTGAGAGGTTTTTGCTATAGGGCACATGAGCTCTCCAGAAAGACAGAGAGAGACAGAGAGACAGAAAGCAAGAAATCACCCCCTAGGGGGAATGGCCACGCTGCAATCCCTTCTCCTCCATTCTCTTCTCGGGGTCTTAGGCACCTACACAAATGCGCCTGGCATGAGTTTAAACCACCAGGTTCAGGACTTGAACAGCAATTGACCACATGGGAGTCCAGCGACATAGCCATTATGCCAACTGCTGGTCCGAATAATTCTTTTTCAAAAAATCAGTTTAGGGGCCCCCGCCACGAGTTTATCCGCTCAACTCCACAAAGGCTCTAGTAGGCGTGCTGTGGCCTCTCAAGCACCCAGCACACACCCTGTTCACAACCAAGATGCCCAAGAGGAAAGTCAGCCCGCTGAAGGAGCAGCCAAGGAAGAGTCGAAGAGGAGATCGGCGAGGTTGTCAGCTAAACCTGCTCCTGCAAAAGTGGAGATGAAGCCAAAAAAGGCAGCAGGGAAGGATAAATCTTCAGACAAAAAAAAGTGCGAACAAAAGGGAAAAGGGGAGTAAAGGGGAAACAGGCTGAAATGGCCGACCGAGACACGGAAGATTTACCTGCAGAAAATGGAGAAGCTGACGACAAGATCCAGCCTCTGATGAAGCAGGCGAGAAAGAAGCCCAGTCTGAGCGATGGCATATCCCATGATTATCAGCGGTCCCTGTCTCCCTTCTTGTACAACCCAGAGGGATATTTCTATCGACTATTTAGTAAATGCGAGATTTTTAGTAGCTCTAGAAACATTATTTATTTTTTTTTTTTGGAGAGGTTTTTGCTACAGGGCACGTGAGCTTACCAGAGAGACAGAGAGAGACAGACAGAAAGCAAGAAATCACCCCCCGGGGGGGGATGGTCACGCTGCAATCCCTTCTCTTTCATTCTCCTCTCGAGATCTTGGGCATGCACGCACACGCGCCCGGCGTGAGTTTTAAGCCACTCGGTCTAGGACTTGAACTGCAGTCGACTACATGGGAGTTCAGCAACATAGCCATTACACTAACTGCTGGTCCCTCTAGAAACAGTTTTAAGAGCCAGAGAATCCCACCTCATCCCATTTTTTAAGTGTAAATGCTTTTGTTTTTAAGAGGGGACATCATTTACTGGTTGTTTATTTTTCAGTACAACCAGAAAACAGTGGGATAGTGACGTATAGGAGGCTTTGACTGTCTTGCTGTCAGCTTACCATTCCATAGGTGGGGACAGGTGGATAGTTTTTATATCCTAAACACAAAGCATAGGAAATGGCAGTTTGGAGTCACAGTCATGCATTTAAAACAGTTTTAAAACTTCCTGTGAGGCCGCAGTGGGCTGGGTGAGGCGCTGCCAGGTTAAACAAATCAAGGGACAGAGCATAAGCCAATGTGAAAGCACAGATAGGCTCAACCCATTTTGTCGTCGAAGTCCCAAAACCATTCTATGAGGAAAGGAAATTCTTTTGAACACGTGATTCCGGAGCAATGGCGTATTTATGAGTAAAAATATGCACTTTAATACCTACCCCAAACCACTGACGAAAATTAACTAGAGACAGAGTCAAGCCATTAACGTAAAACCTAAAATTAAGAGGCATCTAGAAGAAAACACGGGAGCAAGTCTTGCCAACCCTGGGGCAAGTAAATGTTCCGTGGGACTCCGAAAGCAAGTAGCAAGAAAGGAGGTCAGCTGGCTTCTACCAGGATGAAAACTGCTGTGGTCAGCTGGTACCGCCAAGACGCAAGGCGAGCCCTGGACGTGGGCGAGTGCCCGCGACCCAGGTATCCGACGAGGAGCTGAACCCAGAGGAAGGAAGAGCCCTACAAGTCAGCGAGGACACAGACAGCTCAGCTGACACGGAGCCCAACATTCCGACAGGCGTTTCACAAAGAGGACATGCCATACGCAGTGAGCAAGTGAGCAAACTAAACATCCTCGGTCCTCCCGCTCCCACTGCATAGCCGCCGGGAGTGCAAACGAAAGAAGGACGCCAGCAAATGTCAGCAAGGATGTGGCGCCACCGAAATAGTGCTGGGGGACCGCTGACGGCGCGACCTTTGGGAACGCTGGCATTTTCTTCTAAAGATAGGCATGGCTCAGCAATTCCACTGTTAGGTATTTCACCCAAGGGATGAGAACACGTCCGCCAAATTACTTACACAAGAATGTTCGTGGCAAGCGTACTTGTTTTCGCCCCAAACCGGAACCTGTGGAAGGCCACCCCGTTACAAATCAATAAACTAAGCATCGCCTTAGGAGAGAGAGAACAGAGCGAGTTAAACCCAAGGCAAGCAGAGGAAATGAGATAGCAGAGGTAACACAGGGCGAGAGCAATGAACTTCTGATACAACAGGCGGGATGGCGCATTGCTCTGGGTGAGCCACGTCAGCCACACGGAAGCACGGCGTGCACAGTTCCAGTGACACGCAACCCTAGAAGAGGCACAACTCACCCCTCCACACCACTGGGCAGTGGCAGAGATGAACTGGGGAGGGACGAGAGAGTTCTCTGGGTAGGCGCCAATTCCGTGGGCACCCACAGACATTCTTTGGACCTCATTGAGCCGTCACTGACGCCCCATGCGTTTCACTGGAAGGTGAGCATGCCTCAATTTTTTAAACACTTAAAACTTGAAAAAGTAATAGAAATCTTGGGAACACATGTGCTTCAAAATTCCAAATATTTCAGTGTTTTTTGAAGTAGCATGGTGCCCACGCTGTGTCTGGGGAGGGTGCAGAATCAAGTGTATTCCTTTCTGCTGCAGAGCCGTGCAGTCACGCCCAGTCCCATAAATCTCATCGCCTCTGTTTCGGTCAGCTTTGCTTCCCAATGAGAGTGCAGCAAAGCTATGGGTGAACGAATGATTCATTTTCTGAGTTTTGACATTTGAATTTCAGACAAGAATCAGTAGTGCTGGCACAAACAGCGTGAACGAGGGTGTGGGTGTGGGGGGGGCACAGGAGCTCTTGGTGCTCTGGGGAGCCGCGGGGCTCCCTGAGGCCTGAGTCTGAGAAGATTGAGACACCTGTCCTGGGTGTGGGACTGCCCTGCCCCAGGCCCTCTGCACCCCAGCAGCCTGGAAGTGGGTCAGATGAGAGCAAATCAGGGCCGACGTCCCTGCCTAAGTGGAGAGCAATTCCCAATTCCAGGGTCAGGGACCAGGAGATCAATACAGGGAGGGTACAAATGGCCCCACCAGCAGGGGGTGCTCTAGGCCCGTCCTCCGAGAAGGCTCACCTGTGCTCACAGCCTCCCAGTTTCTTCAGGACAAATTCTTAACCTGGAGTTGCATGGCCAACTGTATGCAGATTTTAAACTTCAATTGCTATTGCCAGAACCTTCCAACGCCAATCACCCTTCCACCAGAGACATTTCCTTGACGATAGTCAGTGTTTACTTTTTGCCAATCTTGGCCAAAATGACACAACACCTTAATTCCCATTCCTTAAACATTTGCAAGGTGGAGTTTATAGAATCTTTATCATGTGTGTCCTTTCTTTTAAAACAGATTGCTCGTCTTTAATTGATTTAGAAAGCACTCTTTGCTTATCATTGACACAATATTAACCCTTGGCAGCAAAAAATGAAACAGAATTTGGCTGCAGATATCAGCTTAATTTACACTGATCTTGCTAGAAAAAAAAAATTAGAAGTGTTTATCTTCTTATTTATCAATCTTTTAAGATTTGGGGGCTTGGGGTCATACTTAGAAGGGGTATGGTTCACTGCCAAAAATTCTTGGGATCAAAAATCATGGAACTGGGGCCAGTGCATGGTGTGGCGGTTAAGGCACTGGATTCCACATGGCTCAGTGTGTGGTTCAAGATCTGGACTCAGCAGCTTGGCAAATGTCAGGCACATGTGTCTGTGTGCCCAAAAATCCCAGGAGGAGCTTGCAAGAGAAGGGACTGTGGTGTGGCCAGCCCCTCTAGCAAGATGCCAAAAATCTAAAAAATAAAATTCTTGTTGAATCAAATAATCGGAGAACACTGGAAATAGAGGAACACTGCAGCGATCCTCACGAAGCATGGGATGTTAGAACCGTCTGAGCACTCATCCCTCGTTTCACCTAACGGACGCCAACGCTCAGTGGCAGCCCTGCCTGCTGGCACTGCACCAAGTGCTGGGGCAGCCGCGAGCCGACACCCTGGCTCCCAGCACCCCTCTTCAGCTCCGCTTCCCGAGCCTCTGTCATGTCTGAGAGTGCTGGGGACACGGTCACCTTGAACACCCCCAGGGAGGGAATCCTGAGTGAGTTCTTTGTCCCTGAGGACCATCAAATAAGAGAGTTGGGTCCTGGGGCCTCAGCAGAGGGCAGGGACGAGGTGCAGGGCCATGGAGTCAGGGTCAGAGTGGCCAGGTAGGCTGAGGCCCAGTGTTCGGGCTTACTCCACGCGCCAACAGATGGCTGTCAATTCGGTCCCGTTCCTGAACACGGATGTGTGGTCCAAGGAGCTGCTGCGTGCACTCACTAAGCCGAGCCAGACCCACCAGGAGCAGTCCCCGGAGAAGGTGGGCCCCACCCCACGCCACTCCCTGTCCCCGTAGGTGCAGGGTTCTGTCCACGGGAGGCACAGGGCCCCAGAAACAACTCAGTGGACCCTAAAGGAACAGGCGAGCCCAAGCCTCACCACACCATCAGGCAGGGCTAAGCCGGCCCCAGAGCAGGGGGTGAGGGTGGCTGCTGAGCGGGGGCAGCGGGCCACTGCCGAGGTGGGCCGGATGCAGGACAGCTTGCTGGTGCCCCCGCAGGCCTTCCTGTTCACCTACTATGGGCTGATGCTCCAAGCCGAAGAGAACAGCAGCACCGTCCGGACGCACCTGCAGACACTCCTGGAGACATCCCACCAGTGGCCCAAGCAGAGGGAGGTGAGGACCAGCCCCTACCTGTCCCACAGTGGCCTGGTCATGCAGGCCACGTGCTGCACCTCCTCCCTGAGCCTGGATCCTGGATCCTGGTCACAGCCTGAGCACAGACCTCGCCCACAGCTGGGGTCATCCTCCTCCATCCCACACGTATCTCCTCACTCCCACTCCTGGGACAGGTGTGCTTGAACACCTGAGGGACAGTCGGCCTGCAGGGATTCACCTCTGCCTCTGCCCTCGTACCCCACGCAGTCCCCTAGGTGATGCCCCAGGCCTTGGGCTCAAGCTGTCCTGGATGAGCCCCACTCTCCCGGGGCCTGGGTCGTCACTCCCATGACGTAGGTCCTCCCACAGGGCATCGCCCTCACGGTGGGGCTGGCCGCGGCCCGGCACCTCGACGACGTCTGGGCCGTCCTGGACCAGTTTGGCCGGAGCGCGCCCATCAAGTGGAGTCTCCACAGCTTCTCCCTGAAGGTTCTGGCTCGCTTCTCAGTGACCCGAATGCCACGGGGAGCAGACACTCCACCGGCCCGCTATCCCCTCCCAGGCCCGGCAGCCCAAGAGGGAGGCCACATGCCAGCCACTGTCCCCAAGGCGGGCG